TTAGCAATTTTACACTATAAATATAATGATGGCAAGAAGCGATAGAATCTTGTTAGAAACTTAGAATAGGTAGTCATTAAGGTTACATACAAGAGTCATTATGCAAAACATGGATAACACATATCGGCATCCGAACTTCAAGATACAAATCCTTTCAAGATTACAAAATTTCTGAACGCACTTAACTTCGTAAGTTCAATGTCTAATGCTATAAAGAGACTTTTCCTTCTCCTCTGCAAAGATTACAGATGAACACTTAGGGAATTACTCACAATGAAATCTTGAAAAGAACATACCATGTATCCAGTATTTGCTTACCAAGAATTGCCGGGCATCAGGCCATGCAGACCTATTAAATTGTTTGATAGCAATCAACCTTTGGTTTTCCAACTTGTCCTTGCAAACTACATTAGGAGCCTTTTCACCATGTTCAAAAACTATATTCTCCACAGCGAATCCAGATGTAACCATCTTGAGTGTTTGGATTAAGTACTCATGGAATGCAGGGAAATCATCAACTTCCCCCATATCCTCACTTTCTATAGAGCAACATAATTTAGTATTAAAACCAGTTTCTATCAGCATAATTATAATCAATAATGAAACTCATTATTCATACTTACCAACATTACCAGCTTCAGGAATTGATCCGTTCTGAACCAATCTCCAACAAGAAGCTAGTTTTGAACACCCGCAGCCCATCCTAGTACCTCAGTGGGATCTCTTCAAAGTTCAAACAGTAGCAAAACAATGGAGGTTCCAAATTTCTACAAACTTTTCGTAAGCTTTAAATGTGTACACAGCTTCCTAAACGAGCTCTCACCGAAGTAATTTTCACTGGCTTTTACTCACCTTGACAAAATACCGTTTTATTTTTCAAAATTTCTGTTAAAATCGGAACCTCAGTTTTCACGAGCATAATAATTTATATTCAAATATGCCACTAACGAAGCAATCCATAAAAAAAGGGCTAAGATATGGCATTCAATTTTTGTTCTTCCACTGAAATCTCAGACCTATAATCAAATTATTGATTCTAATCTAAACCTCGCCGTTATGTAATTTCAACTAAAAACAATAGCAAACAAGAGGGAAACAGAATCAAAGATACCTTAAACAGCACCGAGTTCCAACCGTTGAGTCAACTCACTTTCTCCTCTTGAGCCAATTTAACTTGCCTTCAACAAAACTTCAACTTCTATGTATTCCTCTAATCAAATCAAAGCGTTTATATAATCATATTAGAGTTATCTTTTATATGTTTACAGATATTTATACGTGTACTTATTTTTTAATATTATGTAATTTATTATTTTTCACGTATTTTATTTCATGTTCATCTCATATTTTATATAATTTGTTTATATATTATTATAAGTATTAAATTTAAATTTTTTGTTCAAAATATTTTTTAATAGTTTACTGTAATTATAGTGTAATATTTATACATAATTTTTCTTAATCATTAATAATGCATATATGCCTTGTAGATATAAATGTTCGAATTCAAAATCTCAATAAAAATCAACACTCTATCTTACTATTGAGGTCTTTTAACTAATCTAATTTTAATCAAATTTTTTTAAAGAAAAAATAAAATAATTTGCAGTCTTATTTTACAAATATTTAAGTGAAAACGTGAATAAATATATTTAGGAAAATTAGAATTCTTGGTATTCATGTTTTATGGCGGTAAGGCTAATTAGCCGTCTGCCCTCCTTTTTCTAATTATCAAGAAGAGAAGGAAGGAAAAACATAACGGTAGTAGGACATTTTACTTGTAGAAAAAGATTAATTATTTGAAATCCTTTTCCAACTAGAATCAAGAATCCATCTCTCTATATAAACCATACGTCTCTAGCATCGTCTCCAGCAAAGTTACTTTTGAGAAGGAGATCTATCTACTGTCTATACTCAACAATGGAGGAAGAGAAACCCCGTGCCTTTTGATTTCATGGGAGTCGGCAGCGACACTAGGGATAGAGAGATAAACCCAGAGCAACGTTTCACTACGTCTTCCTCTTCATCAACAACCAATAAGGAGATAGGCGGAGAAATCCATTGCACGGAGAAGAAGAACAGTGGAGCTCTGCCTAGTTTCTCAACAATGGAGGAGGGGCAACTTGTGGTTTTTGATTTCATGGGAGTGATGGGTGACACCAGGAGGGAAAGGGAGATAAACCCAGATCGTGAAGAGAGCAACGTTTTGTTAGATTTTTCTCTTTCACTTGCAACAGCCAGATGTGAAGATATCCATTGCAAGAAATCAGAAAGTTGTACAAAGATGTGCTGCATGGAGAAGAACAATGGAGCTTTTCCGTTTGAATCGAGCAATGCCGCTACTGATGGCCGCATCTCGTTAGATTTACATCTTTCTAGTGACAATATATCCACCGGAACTTCTAAAATCAATAAAGGGAAACAAGTGATTGAGTACAAAGAAAGAGACGACCGACACACAAGAAACATAGATGCACGTAACATGATTCGCTTGAAGAAGAAGAACAGCGGTGCTTTGTCGCAGAAACCTACTGATTTGTCGTTGGAAGTATCTCCTGCCGTGAATAAAAGTTGGGGGTTTGAAGTCGGTGAATGCAGCAATCTGAATCACCGTAATCTCAACAAAAGTTGTAGCATGAGTCAAGATTTTAAATTTGACGGAGCCCTTACTTTATTAGCTCTGAATGAAGGTTTTACAACCCACAAGAAGAGAAAGCTAAGGGAGAATCCGAAACATTCTTCCACCATAAACAAGAGAAGAAGGGTTGAACCAGAAATTGTACCCAGGAGGCCGATGGCTGATCAGTTGAGGGTTGGCCCTGCCAATGATCCAAAGAAGAGGCTTTTCAAGAGTGATCTGGGCGACAATTCCAGGCTGCTTTTGGCTTCGGAATTGGTCGAATCTCACATCTTGCCTCACTGGGACGCCGAACAAATAGCACAGATTCATAAAGCTGGGTTGCAGGTTTCGGTTTACGACACTGATACAAACAGTCAACAAGTAATGCTTTTCAAGCGATGGAGGAATGGAGCCTACGTCTTCATCAAGAACTGGATTCAGAACTTCGTAAGTAGGAGAGATCTAAAGCTGAACGATGAAATCGGACTGTACTGGGATACCAACAACTCAAGGTTCAACTTCTCTGTTATTAACCGATCTGCCAGAGATTAATTTTCCTTTAAGTCTTCTTTCTTCTCTTTTATGGTAACCAAACGGTCTGGCTATGTAAGAATTACAAGTACTTGTCTTCATTGAAATTTAGTTGGTATTTTTTCATTTCAAATTCTAGTTTCTACACTAATTTTCTTGTTCATATTTTATATGGCAATGGCATGATTTTCTTTAAAAACTAGGATTTGGTTCATTGTTGGCCAATTGCAGTTTATTGATTAAATAACTTAAATCTGCCAACGACGATGTATGCTACGAGTGTGATTATCTTATAAGTGGAATTCAAATATTTGTGTTAGTAATTTAAATTGTCGGTCAAGTTGAATTCAAACATCATAACATCGATTTTAATGGTTTGCTAGTCTAATCGAGTTTTAAAATTTCAATATATGTTTTATATTTTTAAATCACACTTCTATTCTTATTATATATTATTGACCACAAACGAATTTGGATTCGACATTTAGTACAAAAATGGATTAACAAGTTCATTAAGCTCGAGCCAAAATTCTAATAGTTTTATTATATATTGAGTCCGAGCTAAAGTTTAAGGGTTACATATACCATTAACTCAAAAAATATTATTAAAAATATTTGAATTCGTGTAAATTAAAAAATTGAAATCTCGTCTTTTCCTATTTTTTAAATTTCCAAAACAATTTTAATGAAAACAGTGAAACATCTATTTTATGTTTTCATATTTTCACTTATTGTTGTTTTTATTTTCCAGAAATCATTTTCTAATTTTACAACCAAATACATTTTCTTCGACATTTTCTATTTTCTAAGAAAATGGAAACGAAAATAATATATATTTTCAAAAATCAAACGGACTTTTATATTTTCGATTGATCCAAATCTGATCTTAAGTATTATACCCTTCACTCGCCACTCAATTCAACTCGAGAGTAAGGAGGTTGTGTTTAACTCAAAACCTAACCCAACATAAAATTTGATAAACAGGGATATGAATAGAGAGAGGGAGGGAGGGAACCTTTGAGCAAGGAGAGCAAGAGGGATGGCAACAGCCGAGGCAAACATGAAGCGGTAAGCAACCATAACCTTCAAGCTCATCCCATGATCAGTAGCAGCCAATTCGTACAGGACGTGAACCCCTGTAAACACTATCTGAACCACCACCGTCACCATTGCAGCAATGCATGGCATGCTTAACCCACGTTATTACGTACGTACGCTTCCTTTCATGGCGTCTCTTTTATTTTATTTTTCCTTTGGTATACGATTTATGAAATGAAAGCTGAAGGTGTGTTTGGTTTGCACTTCAAACCATAACCTATAATACGATTTATGATCATAAATAAATTCAGCTCTCGAGTTTTATATTTTTTTTCAATTTGGTCCTTTCACTTTTCTCCCAATAATATAAAATCACAAATTTAATCCTTACCTTTTATTTTTGTTCTCAACCTTAATTACTTGTTGAAATAAATAATTATGATATATAATGTTATAATAAATATTTTTATTTTAACAATTTTAAGGATAGTTAATGCTCAAACCGATTTTCAAAATATTGTTTGAATTTGTAAAAACATTTGTAAATCTATATTTAAATTGACTAAAATAATAATAAATTAAAAATGATATATTTTAAAATCTTTTAAAAACATCAAACATAATATTGGAAAATTAATAATAATAATTTGAAGATAATTGTATCCAAAAATAGATAAAGAAAAACATAAACATAAAATTGTATCCACACAAAATGTTAATCAACCTCTCATTAACCCCTAAAACCAAGGATCTCATTCTTTTTGTACCCCCACAACCATCATTCACCCTCTTTCTACTTCCCTTCCCTTCATCACAAAGTCCCCTTCTCTCATTGCTCACAAAATGGTATGTATTTTCTTTTATTGCATTTCGTCACAATGAATTAAACATGTTATGTTATTCTCTTTCTATTTTTTTTATTAAACTAATGATGAATTTTAGATATCGAACTTTTTAAAATTTTAAAATTTTATGATTGAATTTCGATCGATAATTTTTAGTTGAATAATGGAAGGTTTACAAACTCAGCCTAACTAGCCTCCTTATCAAGTCTCAGCATGTTCTCTACCCTTTCCGGGGTATAGTTTGCATACTTATTAGGTCCTATCAATTTAAAAAAATTTAAAATTTCTACATAGTTTTGACCCTCATTTGATGCGAATCTTTAGTAAGGATAGCAATGAGTCTGATCAGATCATATATTTTGCCCATCCAAATCTAGTCTAAAAATTGAAGTCCTCCACTTTTACCCGATTTAATTTAGGTTTAGAAAGATCCCACCTAACCCGAAATCGACCCAAAACCAACCCGATAATTTAGGTTAAAACATGCACCTAACTTGATCCGTCTTGGCCCGAATATATATATTTTTTGAACTATTTCCACCTAAAGGAGGAGATGGAAAATTTTAATACTAACGAGTATTGAATCCATAAATAAAAATTAGAGGTTTATATCAAACCAGATTTTTCATCCTAACTTCGAACTCCCGGTCGTACCCTCAACAATCTGACCCAAAGATGAACCTATCTCTAGTGACATTATAATGAAAATATTGAGTTTGATGGGACAGGCGAATGCAGCGTCGGGAATCGCAGTGAATGATAATTGTAACCACAAGTTTTTGGAGCTAAAAGCGAAGAGGAATTACAGGTACATCGTTTTCAAGATAGAAGACGCCACCCAGCAGGTTGTGGTGGAGAAGCTGGGCGAACCCAACCACAAATACGAAGATTTAATCGCCAGCCTGCCCGCTAACGAGTGCCGTTATGCCGTCTTCGATCTCGATTTCACCACTGAAGAAAATTGCCAGAAGAGCAAAATCATCTTCATTGCATGGTATTCCACGTTCTCCCCCCTAATATTGCATGCTTTCTCAAACTTAGCCTATTTGGATATCCAAGGTAAGACCCATTCTATCCATTTATACACCAAGGTCCGTTCCATATTTAAAATAAACAAATTCAAAAAAGAATAATTTAAAGAAAAATAATATTGACATCATATATGTGTAGGTCTGATCGAATTTCGGGTGGTGTAGGTCTCCGGATTCATCTCGAGTGAGGAACAAAATGGTGTACGCGAGCTCAAAAGATAGATTTAGAAAGGAGTTGGACGGCGTTCAAATTGAGTTGCAGGCCACTGATCTGAGTGAAATGAGCTACGACATCGTCAAGGAGCGAGCTACATCGCACTGAACCCCTCTTTGTTCATTCCGAATTCTTTACCCTGACAAGAATTCGGTTGCCCTTTTCTTTGTTGAACATTTTATATTATGAACAGGGATCGTCATACGTCCCATTTCTTTCTTTATCTTCTTCTTTTAACCCTAGCTTTTGACTGTTTGGGGTTTGTGTAATGGTTTGTTTTTTAAAGAAAGATCCCATTCTTTCTACTTTTGGTCATCTTGTATCCTATCTTTCTGGCTTATATATTAATTGATCCTTAAACTTGACAATCGTTTCAACTTAATACCTGATTTTTTCTATTATTTAAAAACTTTATTGAATTGATACTCGGTGTTAACATGACATTTCAACGATCAATTAAACTATTTATTTTTTAAAAGAAAGTACACATTGCACCAACAAGTGCTTGGTGCAATAATAAGACACTACAGTAAAATTGGCTTTTTGCGGTATTTTTTAAATGAGACTATTATATATATATATATATATATAAACTCTAATTCATTTCGATCTTATTTGATTATATTTTTTATAAATAGATAATGATTTTGGTTATTACTCAACAGTGAATAATTTTAATATTTTATTTTGTATTTATTTTAAATATACCGTCTTTTAAAATTTATATTTATTAAACAATATAGTTATATTTGATTTAAGTAAAACATCAGGTTTTGTAATTTAAATTTAATGTTTAAAATTTTGACATTTATAAAAAAACTTGATGTTTATATATTTTTGAAAGGGTAAAGTACATAAATGGTCATCTGACTATAGGGTACTACTTTATTAAGTCACTCGACTATTAATAGTTATGAAATGGTTCTCCGACTATAGAGTGTTGTTTTGTTGAGTCCCTCGACTATTAAAAGTTACAAAATGGTCACCTAACTATTCACTATGTTCCAAAACTCGTCATTTTCCGTTAAAAGTTGTCAATATTTCGAGATGAACATTAATTTATTGATTGTGATATGATAAAATCTTATACCAAAATCTCAAATGACTATCATATCACATTCATCATGTTAACGTCTAACTTAAATAATCGTCAATTTTTAATAGCAAATGATGACTTTGAAATATAATAAATAGTCAAGTGATCATTTTGTAACTTTTAATAGTCGAGAGACTTAATAATTCAACATTCTATAGTTGAAGGATCATTTTGTAACTTTTAATAATAATCGATAGACTTAGTAAAACATTACACTATAGTCGGGGACTATTTGTGTATTTTACCCATTATGTTATTAAATATTTTAATAATTTAAGAGTTAATATTTTATTTTATTTTTCAAATAAGTGCTCTAGGGTTTTAGATTCAACTTTCGTTGCCCAAAAACATAAGAGGGTCTGAGCTTCATACTATCTCCTCCCTAAAGCCAAAAGCATGGAAGATTCAGTAGCGCCTAACTCGAATCCGGCACCATGTTGGAGCAACCTTCTAAAGAGCCAACCACCAAAACCTCAATCTCATAACCAAACGACGCCGCCAACCCAACTCTTCGTCGAAAGCTGCAAGTCCACCAAGGGAATAGCGGTGGCCGTGGTGGACGCCAACGCCATCATCGAAGGCGGAGAAAAGCTCAATAACACCGCTGACAAGTTCGTCACCGTCCCCGAAGTCCTCGCCGAAATTCGCGACCCTGTTTCCCGCCGCCGCCTAGCGTTTATCCCTTTCACAATCGATTCCCTGGAGCCCTCTCCCGATGCCCTAAATAAAGGTATTCAATCTTATCTTCAAATCCCATTTCTATTTTTTTGTATGTTTTTGTTGTTGTCATGTTCGTTAGTGTCTGCTTTTAGCTGCTCAATGTAGAATCATAATTGATGACATGTTGATTGGATGTTTTGTTTGAGATTTGTAGTTATCAAATTTTCGAGGGCAACTGGTGACTTGCAGACTCTTTCGGATGTTGATCTTAAATTGATTGCCTTGACTTATATGTTGGAGTCGCAAATTCATGGAACAAATCATCTTAGGGATGCCCCTCCGCCTGTCCATGTTGTTAATGTCAAGAGGCTTCCCGAAAGGGACTTGCCTGGATGGGGCTCTAATGTCCCTAATCCGGAAGAGTGGGAAGCACTTGATCGTGAAACTGGAGATGGATCGAATTCTAACTCAAGGATCCTTCCCTTGAAAGACTTGAACATGAACATTGTCTCTTCAGATAACCATTCCGAAGATGGACTGGCTGAAACGAAGGGTGAAACACATTCTGAGAATATAGAGGATTCTGACCAGGGTTTTAGGAGGCCCAGACGATATTTACCCCAGAAAAAAGAGGTAAAAATCGAAGGAAAAAAGATGGTAGCTGATGGGATTGATGCATCTCAGGGTCAGTTTGATAATGACGGTGATGATTGGCTACCTGCTGTAAGTCGAAGTACTCATAGGAGATTCCTTAGGAGGAAAGCTAGGCGGGAATACAATGAGGCACTAGTTGAGAAGGATTGTCAAGAAGATATGGAGAAAAGCACAGATGAGTACAATGTTGAAGATGCGAGTGGTCCCGATCAGCTTTTGCAACAAAGTGCTGAAGACGTTTGTCGTGGAAATGGGATTTCTGAGGAGGCTGAGAAAACAGAAATTGAAAAGGGTGGTGAAGATCTTTCTTCGATCCTAAAACAAATGAGGCTGGAAGAAGATTCAGCGAGGACTCTTCAAGAAGAAAATGAAGCGGAGACTGCCATGGAGGAAGCTGTGTCAGACGACAATGTAAATCTTGCTGTTGAAGGAGATGGTGAAGAATTAGACCAGTTGGAGATTTCAAGTCAGACCAATGAAACAGTTGATGCATCAGATGATGTTAGCAGCGAACAGAGCTGGATGTTGAGATCCTTATCTGAGTCCACTGTGGCTTGTGTAACAGGGGACTTTGCCATGCAAAATGTTCTTTTGCAGATGGGTTTAAGATTACTAGCTCCTGGTGGAATGCAGATCAGGCAGCTGCACAGGTATATCACCAAGGCATCTGTCGTTACTGGTGATTGTCAGTTGACAATTACCTATTCAAATGTGAACCATCTTTTCAATTAAGGCATCTGTGCTTACTTTTGATATATTTCTGTTTGTAGGTGGGTATTGAAGTGCCATGCTTGCTATACCGTGACTGCTGAAATTGGCAGAATTTTCTGCCCTAAGTGTGGGAATGGAGGAACTTTGCGGAAGGTAGCTGTTACCGTTGGTGAGAATGGAATTGTTTTGGCATCTCATCGCCCAAGAATTACATTGCGGGGTACCAAGGTAAGTTCAATTACATTGCATAAGATAGCAGTCACTTTCTGAATGCAGTTCTATTGATTTGTGAATTATTCGACGCATTCTGAGAAAATACATGCCGTGTGCAGTTTTCACTGCCTTTACCCCAAGGTGGAAGGGATGCCATAACCAAAAACCTCATTTTGCGTGAAGATCAACTTCCCCAAAAGCTCCTTTACCCTAAAACTAAGAAGAAAGTTAGTAAACAGGTTTGTCTTGTTTTCCTAATTTGTACCCGTCTTTTTGGTTCATATGTTACTATACAGCTGAGAGATGTGTTCTGTTTCATATAGGGGGATAATGACCTCCTCATGGCTGGGGACACCTTCACTCACCATACCGACAAGAGAGCGCCTCTTCAGCCTCCTGTTAGAAAAGCATTAGCGGTCTTTAGTGGAAAGAGGAATCCAAACGACAATCATTACTCTCGATCGAAGCACTAGTAACTCAGCTCTACTTTTTTTATCTATATTTTGTCTTGAGAATGAGAATGGATACGACTTTTTTTATATTTTATTTTCGGATTCCATTGGAACGAACTCAATATAGTTGAGATTTTATTAGTTGCAACAAAAAGGGAACCGTTATGTTGTTTTAAACAAGTCATATTTGCCATGTGCATGCAGAAAAATGAAGTTTGCTGATGAAGGGTGAAGAGTAATATTTATATAAATTGTTTATGTTGGTTCAGACAAATTGGAATGATTTATAATATATAAAACAACTGATTAATACACGGCCAGGAAGGAAAATATAGTGATTTCAGAAAACTTCATGACCATTCAAATCCTAATGATAAAGCTAAATGTTCCTTTTTGGCAATCAACATTTACAAATATCAAAATGACTGAAAAAATACTAAAAAACCCTAAAACTATTATGTATTTTGATGTTACAATGTGTGTTAGCTTTCAATTCAATGAGCGAGTTCAGCACGTGCTAAAGAAGATGCCCTTCAACTCAACTGGTAGGATGCGTATTTATTCAACTCTCCCAGGCTTAATGCTTCCGTTGATAGCCGCTCTGGACGAAATCTTAATGAATACAATCATGATGAAAGAGCGAGTTCAGCCCATGCTAACGATGTCTTGAGCTCAACCGATAAAGATGTGTCGATTCTGCTCTCCATCATTAGGCTTATTTCCTTCATCGATGGCCGTTTCAAGACGTCGGGATGAATGCAAAGGCTTATGACTTCACATACGACTTTAAGGTCATCTTAGCTGAAATGTTTCAGCTCTGGATCCACAATGTAAGACATCACTTCCGGTAATTCAAGATACTCCTTAGCCTGCAATTCAGAGTTTGACTTAAGTATTCCGAAAGCTTAACATTTCATTCGATAAAGAAGATAACATCAAATTTCTTTAAGAAAACAGGGTGTTCAGAAAGGTTACTGACCCAATCTATCAAGCAGCCTTTCTCCTTGCAGAATGGAGGCTTCCCACTGATTATCTCCAGTAAAACTATACCAAAATCATGAATGTTTCCTTGGATATCGAGATGTCGGCTCTCCAAAGAATTCGGAAGTAGACAGACAGAGCCATTACTGCCGATAGAACCAGAGTTCTTTTTCCGATCTAGCAAGAATCGTCTTCCAACTTTCGAAATCAACCAACTGTCACGATTACCGGCACAAACTAATATTAATCATCGTCAAACGTATATCCAGCACAACTACATAAACAAAAGTGTACGCATTACTTAGATAAGGAAGAAACGACACTAATTCAGGTATACCGGGATCATGAAGAAACCATTAGATATCAGACATGAAATGACAAGTGATGGGAGGAGATATACCTTGGGAGAAAAATCCTCTGTAAGATACACAGCACTAGAGGTTAACTCTGATATAGTGAATGGTGGGACAAGTTCAGTATGAAGATACATCAGTCCTCGAGCAATGCCGAGAATAATTCTCATTCGCCGGGTCCATGATAACTGGGATCCTTCTCCATCTATATACCAAAATCAAATACTCAGGTAAAACTGGATATAAGAAATTTTATCGTCGTGTGAAAAGGACGAAGTATGCTTACAATGCAAATGCTCATAGAGTGTTCCATTTGATGCGTATTCAAAGACAAGCATCCTTGTAAATGGACTGCTGTCTTTACAATAACCTAATAATTTCCCGACATTTTCATGATTCAATCTCGCCAAATCTGCGACCTGAAAAGCAAATAAGCAAAAGCCTTAGAACCAAATTACTCGAAGTTCATAAATTCCTTCTCTCGTTGAAATGTAGCATCGCATCTTTCGATGAATGAATCTTTTCGTCAAACCGTTACCAGAAATAAAAAAAGTACCTCTCTCTGGAAATAGAGCTCAAGATAGCCGGTCCAGTGCTGCTCTTTAACGCAGAAAGATATCACGGCAATTTCGGGACCACACTTCATGGTCCCTTTGTAGACAACACTGTCCGGAGAGGATCCAACAATGTTGCTGAAGTCTTCACAAGCTACTTCAAGGTCTTGTCTGCCAAATTTGTAACATCTTTCAACAACTCCGAATCTGCAGAAAATCACAATGTCAAACTAAATGGTACTTTGAAAAATATGTAATGAGAGCGGTAACTAACACCGAATTTTGCAAACTAACCTACATATACCTCCAAATGTTCCTTTTCTCTCCCTGGTTTCTTCCAAGGGATTATAATTGCAGGCTTGCTGTAGCATCTTTGGAAAGCGGTAAGGACGGCGACAAGAAAGAGACACCCCACCATAATTCCTGTAGCAATTTCAAGTGCCAAAAGCCAGGTAGGTTTCGATGCTTTCTGTTTTAGATGCTCAGCAGCAGCTTTTGGAAGACTATGCTTAGGACTCGGTGATTTGTGACTTCTCGTTGGTTGAGGACCTAAAAAAGGATAACGGCACCGTCAAACCTGGTAAATAATCAAACTTGCAATTTTGTAATGGTCATACTCACAAGACCATCAGCTAGCAGTGGCCATTGGAAATAAATCAAGGAAATTTCAAGTTTCAAGATGTCATCTTATCCAAGAACATATGTTCTTCAAATATCCTCATCCGAGCCACGGACTAAGGGAAGATGATTTAATACTTACCACATTGTGTGAGGGGGCGCTGTTTAGCTTCTTTTCCCTGGAGACAGTTCCCTTGAAAGCTCATGCTGCATTAATATGTGCAAACATAAGCCGATCGGATAAAAAGATGCTAGCACGGACCTATGACACGAGAAAAAAGTTTACCTTGGAAGATTTTCCAAACACTTCGGTATGCTTCCGACAAAAAAATTGAATGACAAATCTACCACTTTTAGCTGAGATGCCCTACAAAGCCCAGTTAATTTTGTACCCGAACCAATCCTGAAGTGAAAAGAATTATTACAAATCAACTTCTATAACCCCTTACTCGCAACTAAAATACCAGTTTCATGGATTAAAAAAGGTAATTTGTGCCCTGTGTCGTTAACAGTTTCCCGTTCCCGACATTAAAACTCTAGATGGAGCATACATCCTATAATGATCTTCTGAATGTCATTTGAAAAAAAGAAAAAAAAAAGAAATGCATAATCTACCGCCTTGTTCATTCACTAGACACTTCTAATCATTATCAACATATCCAAGACAACATAGAAACCAAATTTGCTATAGGAATTGAATATATAGAAACAGCAAATGTTCACTAAGGAAATACTAATGAGCAGTTGAATTTCAATGCATACATTTGTTCTGCTTACATTCCATGTATCTTAGACACAGATGATGAATTGCTTTCAGAAGGAACGGTTCCTTGAAGTTTATTTCGATCGAGAATAAGTTCCTGTAGAAACTTTAAGTTGCCGAGCTCGCTAGGCAGGCTTCCGGTCAGTCCATTTGACTGAAGGTTTATGTGCAAAACAACAGCAAACAAAATAAGCAAAAAGGCATAAAAATACCACAAATATCAACTTTCTCAAAACACAAAGCTCGGGGTTTACATTTTCACCACACTGGTTAAATTCCCAAGTTCCGGAGGAATGATACCAGTCAGATGGTTCATCCCCAAATCCAACAATTCGAAGAAATTCAACAAGCCGAGTTCTTCAGGTATCGTGCCGATCAGATTGTTCTTGCGTAAAGTCCTAGGCAAGATATGAAATCATGAGTCAAACCATTAAAAATTGGAACCTAGAGCATCATTTTGAGCAAATTACAGGAAGAACATACAGTTCCTGCAGGTAGGTAATTCGTCCGATTTCCGGAGCAAGAAAACCTTTCAAAGATGAATCAGATATGTTTCTGCAACACACAAAAAATGGTCAAATTGTGAACACATCCACCATTAAAGAACACCGAAAACTTGTCGGCTTCAAAGCTTACATCTTGATAACATGCTGTCTCTCCTTAGTACAAGTAATCCCAGTCCATCCACATGGATCAGCATCTACATCATTCCAGTTTGAAAAAACGAGATTTGGGTCTTCATAAATAGCTTCCTTAAATGATGCAAGAGCCCGAACTTCACAAAAACACCACAATTCAAAACTCACAGTGAGGATAATTAATAATAAATATCCCTAAAATCAAGAGCATAAATCTATCTGAAAAAAGGGAAAAACATTAACTAAAACATCATGTACCACAAGGTTGACCATTTAAAGTCCTGATTTCCACCAACATTTTCCCAGTAACCAAACAAGATCTATAAAAACAGCAAAAGCAAAGACAAAACAAGAAAGCTCATTACCTTCATTAGTAGGGAAAGTAGCACAAGTCACACAAAAAGCTCCATACGCCAAAAAGATGAGCAAAAAAGAAGTGTATGATCCCATTTTTCCAACCGTAAGTCTCCTTTTTGCCACCCGCGGGTAGAACTCGACCATTCATCAACACAGAAAACTCTGTTTTCTTATCACTCTTCAAGCAAATTCACCAACATGAAAATGAAGAAGAGACAGTGAAGAAAAAAAAAGAACACAAGTGAGTAGCAGATGTGGGATTTTATCAAGAGACTAAAACTAAGGCAAAGTCGAAAGCTTGGGTGCACTAATCTGCTGAAATGGGGCTGCTTTGTTAACAGAGAAGGTACTAAAATGAAAGAGAAACCAAGAAAAAAGGATTAATGAAAAGATAAAGTTGCTAGTAATAAGAGACTACAGAGCTTGAAAAATCTCAAGCAAACCCATTAAACAAAATCACATGAAAAAGACAAGAAATTATGTGTATTGTGGAGGAAAATTTGGATTGAAATCAGGGAATGAATTTAAGAATGTTGTCTTTTTACTTTGGGGGTAGAATCATAATAACCTGGTTTCGGTAATTTTGTTCGCTGCTGGTGAATCTGTGCTAATGATTTGCATTCAGGATCTCAGGGCAGCCATGATTTATTTGAGATTACTTCTTTATTCTCGTGATATAATGAGCCTGAATAAAGTGATTTTCGTAAATTAAAAATATATTTTAAAATTTTAAATATTAAATTTATTGTATCATCTTCTTTATATCTTCTCCCTAAAATTGATTTTCGCATTAAAATGAGGTTTGGTTCGTTGGAATGTTTTTGAGAGAATTAGAATCTATGA